AATCACAGTAACATTACAGATTCTGGCCTAAAGTTTGATGAAGCTGAGAGCTATTTACATGACATACTCTTGGTGGTACTCATTTGCATAAAACATTCATGTTTACTGCTGGATTCAATAGTAATTGTCTGGCCAATAAACATATTTCATTCAAACTTTTAGAAAGTAATTATTAAATACATATTTTCAAATTAATAACTTTTGAGGCCACTGCAAGTCAAGAAGGCCACCACAGTAAATTACCATCACCCAACACAAGAAATTGCTTTATCTCAGTCAATTTTACAGACATTAAGCTAAAGTTAAATGTGGTTGTGACTAGGGTTGGGCATCGAGTCTCGAGAATCAATTGGAACGTTCTGGTTCTTGGAATCGTTCAATTTTTGTATTTTCAATTCCTACTTTAGATGACTAGTCCGCCGGCCGGAAGAAGAAGCCACCTGCTGAGTAAAGTTAATAAAAAGTAAAAAGGTCATAGAATTAAAATTCAAATAGAAGTTCAAATAATTTCATCCAGAAAGAACTCTAGCTGCTAGCTCATTTTTACCATGAAAACTTTTTTTTTAACCCACCTCAAAAAAGAAATGGAATCGAGAATCGATAGAAACCAGAATCGAAATGATAAATTGGAATCTGAACCGGAATCATTCAAATTCAAACGATGCCCAACCCTAGCTGTGACTGACGAATTTACATCATATATTCATGACAGCCCAAATGTAATTTTCAGAGTTTGACTTTATTGGCTACTGGGCCATAATTTCTCACCACAAGATGATTTTAAATAAAAACTATGCCATGAAAGGCAGTGTTGAATGATAACCATTTAACCAGTGAATACAGGGTGAAGTGGTGGGTACGATAGTTACAGCCAGTTATGAATCTTAGCGCACCATGATAGACAGCATCCAACATCAGCAGGGTTCTTGTAGGGGCGTTCATGTAAATGTCACATGGAGAGAAGGAAAGTCGCCTACAAGGAGCCCATGACAGATAAGATCTGGCCTCCATGCAAAGTAATGTTTATTGCCTGGATTTCAGGTTTATTTGCCAAGAGATACTTTGTTGAAAAGGTAGAGTTGATTAGGTCATCGATTCCTCACTCTACAGCTGATCCCGTTGTCTTTGTCCCCTGCTCAGCTGTCTTGAATCAGTTTAAACCTTTTTTCTCTCTCATTTTTAAATGATGTTGTTGGTCACATGAAATCCTCATGTTCCCCTGCTGATCCCATCCCTGCATCGTTTTTCTTAAAGAAGTTTTACCCTTGATCGGACCCTCTGTTCTTTATAGCCTATACAGGTCATCTAGACGTTTTTTTTTTTTGCTGAGACGTTTCGTCCTTCATCCAAATAACTTTTTCAATCTGAGGAGACACTGACAAACTGGAGTCCCACAAGCGACCTGATTGAACATTGTTGGATTTATACCTGAATTATTGAGCATTAACTTTGGTGTTTTGAACCATTTTGGCATGGTTGCTTTAGAGGAGTTGACAGAGGAGAGGGCGGGCCACAGAAACCATCTTTTCACCAGCAAACAGTTTTTTTTTCCACTATGAGAGTTGGTGCTTGTGGGTAAATCCATTATTATTACACATGAACTTGACCTTCAACTTGTTCAAATTTCAGACCAATCTTAAAACTTCCTTTTCTTTTTAAGATATTTGAAAAAATAGTTTTAATTCAATTAAATGAGTTTTTAAATAAAAATGGTCTTTTTGAAAAAATTCAGTCTGGTTTTAAACATTTACACAGAACCAAAACAGCCTTGATAAGGGTTTCTAATGATTCTGGTCAGTTTGTGATACTTGTACTCCTTGACCTTACCACTGCTTCTGATACTGTTGACCACAGTATCCTTATATCCAGGGCTTAATGTGAGCTGGATCCTGCTGGAACAGGATCTGAGAACTCTCTTATTTTGACTGGGTACGTTTTGGCAACTGTTTGCTTGGATCCAGTAACTCACAGGCGTACAGATAATAAAATAATGAACAAATATGACTGCCTTGAATGAATAAAACTTGTATTGGATATGTAAACTGAAAATAATTTCTTAAACCCTAGTTTTAAAAACAACAGCCACTTACTACTTCTTAATATCACATATGACCTGCCTCTTCAAGTAAGCATTTCCACGTCTACCCTTAAAAAAATCTCTGCCCCTAAAAGAGTGGTGGGGGTGAGTGCCGACCGAGCTAACCAGGCAATCTGGAGGTTTCTCATATGGAGTCGGACAGTGAATCCAGCAGAGAAGAGGAACAGTGAAGTAAGGTGGGGGGTGGCGGGGTATGCTTGACAGAAGTGGAGTGTTTACAAATGTACTTTGTAGGTGAACGTAGATGTTTAACAACCCATTAAAATGCAACAAAAATGCAGGAAATCACATCTACTTTATTCTTAATTTTCTGGGGAGGACAACCCAGACACCATCCCCCACATCCAGCCAGCCTGCCAGCTATTTGCATTCCAGCATTGATCGTTTACAATTTAAGCCCTGCTTATATTGCAGTTAGAACATTGGGTTGGGATTACTGGTGCAGTATTAGAATGGTTCCGTTCTTATCTGAGTGACACGAGTTTTGTGTTAATGTTGGTAATAGTTTATCTGCCTTGGTGCCTCTTTCCTGCAGGGTTCTGCAGGGCTCCATTCTTAGACCCCTTCTGTTTACACTGTATCTGCTCCCCTTGGGGTCTATACTTAGGAAACATGGTCTTTCGTTTCATTGCTATGCTGATAATTGTCAGATTTATCTGCCCTTAAAACCAAATAGTTCATGCACAATTCACCCTTTGTTAAAATGTCTTGATGACATTATGGCTTAGATGGCTTCAACATTTTTTTAAGTTTCAACGATCAGATAACTGAAGCCATTGTGTTAAGCCCCAGCTCTACTGCTGTCTCTGTTCCTGTAAATCTTAACTCTCTCGATCCATATCTTAAGCAGTCTGTTACAAATCTTGGGATTGTTTTAGACTCTGACTTTAAGTTTAATAAACAGATCAATTCTGTTCTACAGCTTCTTCCAGTTGGCAACACGGTGTTATGTAAAAAAATAAAATGTTTGTGAACCTCACATGTGTTTAAAAACTCAAAATGTGATGTCATCATAAAGCAATTTTAGTAAAATGACGATATTTAATTTAAATTCGACTGATTCTATCACCCCCCAAAAATCATTACTTACTAAGAGACATAAAGCTAATTTTAGAATACAGTGAATGTTCTGCTGCATGTGAATGTAAAAGACAACAGAGAGCATTTCATATTGAAGGAGCCTTGAGGAAACAGAGCTGTGCCTCCCACACACATGCACATTTCTGAATCAGTAGTTTCAGACAGATTCCTCCATCCCTGCTGTTCACTTAGCTTCCTTTAAATGTAATATGAATCTGTTTTTTGTGTAAAATTTAGAATTTTAATAATTATTTTGTTTATAAATGTATTTCCTGTCATGGTGAGAACATTGTGTCCCGAGTAGTCTCACCATCAATTCAAAGGCCTCAGCCAATTGTGAGCAAGTACCGAGCTCTGTTGCCTAGCAACCGTGTAGTGTGATGGAGGGAGGCGTGCAGCCGAGGACCAAGGTAAACAGTTCTGATCTCACTCCCATCAGGAACTATCAGTCTGCCAAAGGCCATCTACTCAGCAGTGTGTTAGTTACGATGACTACTGTGATTTGTTAATGAGAGCACTCCACAAAAAACAGAACACCCCCCGTAAGTCATAGCTTCTCCAGTTTGCAGCAGTGTTACTTCCATCAAACATGGCAGGGTATCACATTGCTTGAACCCAAAAGAGATTTTGTCATCTGTTTATTTGTCAAAAAAAAAAAAAAAAGAATGATACAATCTGTCATGAAGCATAACAATAAAAAGACAAGTCAGGAAGCATCTTTAGTTTTCTGGAATGTTACAATTGTTAAGTCCTTCTCTGATTATATGTTTCACTTTTTCTATTTTTCACCCTACATTTTATTTGTTGTCTAAAAGTCACAGAATGAATTGACATCTTGTTTTTTCAGGGGAAGTCGTTCATTCTCTGTGGATTATTTGCTTTCCATTTTCTGTCCAAACTCCTTGATGGTGTCTGTAGCCTTGTCTGCAGTTTTTGCTATGGCTGCTTGACTCTGCCTGCTGGCTTCTTGAGCAGCTAGTGGAAAAAAGTCAGAAAAAAGCAGCAGAGAAAGAGAGAATTTAAACAAATCACTGGGCTAAAGACGTTCAATGTTAGTTTGATTATTTAGTGCTGCACAAATAGTTTCATAGTCCTCTGTGAGATTTTTTTTTTTGTAGCAGATCAAACTTTAAAGCTGTTTTTCATTAGTGTGAATGTTTCTAAACATTTAGCCAGTTCAAGCCCAAAAATATATTTTAACATGAACTCCCCTTTAAAAAAAAAACATCCAAAGGATGATGCTTGATTGTTTCTTACCTATGTTGACTGTTTCTTTGGAGGAGTCTGCCACCTGCTGCACAGCATCTTGAGCTGCCTGCACTGAAACGCATCACGAGGCACAGAGACTTGTGGTTTAAACAGTACTGACAGTTATTTTTTATTAAGTAAAAGAAAAGGATCAATTTCGTCTATCAAGGCCCTGCATGAAAAGTCTGTACCTGCACTGTCTGTGACTCCTTTTGCAGCCGAGTGGCTCGTCCCTTTCAGGCTCTCAAAGGACTTTTTGAATGAGGCCATGGATTCTATTTTTGCTCCCACAGCTTCCTAACGTCCGTCTGAGCCAGGGGTGGCATGAGGGGTTCGTTTTAAACCCACCCCCTCCCTTCTTCGACATCACTTAGCCTGCACTTTCCAGCCGGATAAACCAAAACAAAACGTGCTCAGAAAGCCCCGATCAGACTGGCATCCCAAACACGGCAGCGTCCTGCCGGGGGCTAGAGCCTACTCAGCAGATTCCATCACCCCACAAACAGGAGGGAGCAAAAAGATAAACATGCCAGGATGATGTATAATACAGCAGAAAATAAAGAAAACCAATCTCTCTTTTTTTATTTTTACTTTTATTTACAGAGGATAAAGTCTGGCTTAACACAGAAACCTTTACATTGACAAATTCTGCCATTTAAAGCACATATCAATATGACAACTGTTATGTTCCCAAGACATAATATATCGACTCGTTAAAATCTTTAGCACACACAAACACGCGCACACACAAACATGTATACTCTGTCAGTTCCTAACAGATAGTTTTAGTGGAATGACTTCACGAAGAACTAGAAAGATACGATGTAAAAAACCCTTACCAAATCTCCAGAGAAATGCAGAATAAAAAAATAAAATAAAAATAAGAACCACAAACAGGCATCGTTGACACTTAAAGAGGATATTAATGTATTCATATCTGCTTGCAACTGGTCACACTTAACAGTTTTTTTCACTCCCAGTGCCTCATTGGAAGAAGATGAACATCTATTGCACATTTCTAAATACAGATACACGTTACAAAGTCACGAGCTCTGACTCCGGTCTCATTTCGTTGGGAGGGAATCAAGGAAATGAGACTGAGAGGACAGAATCCTACAGCTCAATAAATACCTACACCCAACACATTACATTAATAACATGACATTTACAATATATAATCATAAAAGATTTGTCTTGAAGGAAGAACATTTTCAGTGGGAATGCTTGTCTTTTTTGTCGTTTTTTTTACTTTTTTTTTTTTTTTGCAACAGGAATATAATTGGAATAGTTTCAGCATTTGTCCTTTTATTATTATTAGAAATATTATTGTGCTGCTGGTTGGATGGTGGCTCGGACCGATGCGTTTATGCTTCTGGCTCGTAGTCCTGGCTCTCCTGGGAGGGATGATAAAGAAAAGAAGGGAGCAGGTTTTATGAGTCAGGCAGGTCAGGGTTGTGGTTCTTCAGAATCAACTTGAAAGTCTTTAATTAAAACCTGATGGGGTGAGATTGATATTTTAATCCGTTTAAGGAGAATACATGATGGAGCTCAGTGCTGAGGGTGATGATGTCATTCCGACCAACAGCTGAGCTTCTTTGCTCTGACCAGGAGATGGAAGCACAATCCTGCATGAAGATCCAGGACCAGTCATGTGCACAGGCCTTTTATCACTGGAACATTGCACGTGCCACACATAGTCAAGAAGCAAAAATAAATAAATAAAAATAAACAAGATAACCTCAGCTGATCAGTTCATGCAAAACCTAAATGTGGTCAGATGGATTGGATCTGCATCACTTTGCAGTTCCCAAGCTCCATATTTAAAGCAATGCAGGGAGACCCTGACATTACCCACAATGCATGGAAGCACAGAGCGTCACCACCACACCCATTTCAACTGAGCTCGCACGTCTCTGGTGTAGCAGAGGATGGGGGAGGGGAATGTGATGCAGAAGAGTAGGAGGAAGATGGAGGAGGATGATACAGTCTGCTGGAAGAGTCGACTTTATCCAGGATCTCATAAAAGCAAAAACACCTCAGATTTATTTTATTTCTTAAAATTCACATTCTTCTTATAAATCTGACTGAGATCATCATGAATTCTGGCAAATTTGCAATGCATACTAGTTAAATTATCCACATTATCTACACATTGTGGCATTTTATCTACTACCGTCTATTTAAAATCTGCTTCCAAAATGGTTGTTTCTGCATCGTTTGTCTCGTCGCTGACAGTCATATTCCAAAAATAACCATCTGTGTCAGACTCGCATCCTGCCTCCACACACAAAACGCCACACACACCCCACTCGGTGGAGCTATATTCACTGTACTCCGTGTTCAGCTGGGTGGCACTTGGCTTGCCGAAGCCCCTGTTTTAATTTTTGCCGAGTTGTACGACGACTTCAGCAAGCGCTGTAGTATTTGCGTGGGCCACAAGTGGAAGACAGCTGTGGAGTGCTTTTGAGATGCAATCCAGTTAAAATGTGAAGTGCATGCAGAGCCTGTGAATAGTGATGTGCCTCCGTCTACTGTACGTAAATGGACCAGTCCCTGCCTGCAGTGCATCACTTTACGCAGCACATAAGGAGCTATATGCAGCGTTTCATGTGAGCTGTGTGGCACGTGACTTGATAAAATGGAGACATGCACGGGCTTGTGTCGTGCTGGCAGATTTACCTGCTGGGACTCATCATATGTCTCCCCTTCTGGCTCCAACATCCCTTCTCCCTGGCCCTCCATGGCCTCCTGCCCATACTCTTCAGGCTGCAGAGGTGATAAAAAACCAGAGATGAGGGGAAACAAGATTAACTCCAACAGTATCAGTTCAATATACTGCACTTATATAAAGCTGTTATTTTGATCAGTTTTTCTACCCAAAAAGCTTCAGAATTGTTGTCTTCTGTCTCCCTGTGGACAACACAATTAAAGGCATATAACTCCTTGTAGATCTCAGAAAATGTTTGCCTCTCAGCTACCACCATATCAACTCAGTAGCCGTAGAATCGACTGAGTTGTAGCTGTTTTTTTATGTTTTCCAAGGAGAGATGGCTGTGGCAGCCATCTTGAATCAGGTTGACTTCAAAACTTATTAAATTGTAGAGGTGCATCCAATGATTATTTTAAGGGGGTTTAAGTAAAATGTCCAGTGACTGGTTTTAAACATTTAGCATCAGAACCTGAAAGGTTCGCTGAGGGAGACAGCTGTCCGTCTTTGCTTCACCTGCCACTGCGAGCTCTAAAAAACAAAGCTAGTGGGTCACAAGTCGTTTATTTTTAAACGCAGCATTAATCAAGCCAATTAGGTCACAGAAGAACAGACTAATCCTGTGCTGCTGTACCCAGATAGTGTTATTCCCACAAGTCCACCAACAAGATTAGCACGGCTTTAGAGCATGCGTCATGGGATGCCACCACGGAGACCACTGGTCAGATGATTCATTGTCTGAGAAAGAAAAATAAACATAAAAAAAAAAGATTGAAAAAAGGAAACACGTGTTTGGCTGGTCTCATGTTGGAGACTTTAAGACAGCTTTAATCTTCAAAAGGCAAATATATATGTATTCATGTTTTACATATATTCATATTCTTATATTCACACATATATTCTTTATGTATTTTATATTTCACTTTATTCCCATTGGTCTTTGCACTGTTTGTTTTTACGTAATCTTATCTGTTATGTTTCTTATGATATTATTGTTATTATATTATAAAAATAAATAAACAAATAAAAATGGTTACAACTCAGTCCTTTTAGCAGGAAGTTATCTATAATTTGCTTCAGTAGTACCTGAGAGTCATCCACAACGCATCATCTGAGTACTGCGCTTCACAGATGATTCTACATAAAAGTTGGACATTAATTATTGGAGTCAACCCTAATTGTCCATTTGCAAAATATTTCCTTAAGCACAAGATGAATTTTAATGAAAATATTAAAAGTAATCATTGGATGTGAACGTACATAATTCTGCAATATATTACCATTCATTCAACCTTTATTTACACAGATAAATCACACTGAGCCTCGAACACTCATTTGCAAGTGAGACCTGTTTGACAGACCAAAATGTGATGAAAATGACAACATGTATAGGATTTGGAGGCAAAAAAAAAAAAAAAAATCTTAACAGGCTCTCATACCTTGGACCGTTTGGAGTCAACTCAATTCAAGTTCAAGTTTTCAACTAAAGTGGAAACAATTCCATTCGTTTCCCAAAAGTTGAACTGAAATTTGATATATGAACATCTCCAACACATATTTTAACAGATTAGACAATATCTATAATAACCACAACAGCTGTAACCTCTTCATTTCTCAACAAACTAAAATGATTTTTGTTTATAACTCTGACGTCAAAGTCCTCAGATGATACGAATGCTTTCAAGGAAGCCGTTATTACTTAAAAGATATTGCTAACAAAGAAAAAAACACCAGAATCAATTATTTATTTTTCCACAATCTTTACAAAATTACAACTGGATAGAAAAGTGACAATGTCAGGCACAAATATCTACTTACATCTGATGAATAACTATCTAATTTAATATTTTGTGGTGTGTTTGGGATGTTAAAACTACTCAGGCTCCTTGGAAAATGAACAATACCAAAACCTCAGCAGGAGATTCTTTTACACCGAGTGTTTGTGGATCCAACGTGTTTCACAGATTAAGATTGAGATTGAGATTCACAGATTGATAAGAGTGAGATGAAAGAAAGTTGGATGCCAATATAACTACTTCCTATGGTGGACTTTTTAAAAAGAATGTTAGGATGTAATATCTTTATAAAAGTGACATTCAATCCTAATTATGTTGATGCTAAACATCATGGTACATTTGGCCTGTCTGATAAACAATAAATCAATTAATCGCATGATAAATGAAAATTATCAACCTAATTTTCATTTATCGGCTTTATCGTTTCTTCGTGTCGCTCTCTTTCTACTGAAGACACTGGATGACAGAAGGCTCAACTCCGGTGTTCTTCACTGACCCCTCCCTTTTACTTTATCTTTTATTACTAATTACTAATTATTCTTAATTATTGTCATATTACAAACAATATTATTGTTTATCGCAATAATTTCTGAGACAATTAATCGCCCAGCAAAATGTGTTATCGTGACAGGCCTAGGTACATATTTGTCCTATAATAAATGCTCTACAGAGGAAACAGACCTGCATGGACACTCCTTGTACAGATGAAGCTTCATCCACATCAAGCTATGGAAATGTGGACATACAGTCTAAACATTTATGCTATACTATGCAGCAACAGCAGCACGAAAGCCAGAATATAGTCCTTTACAAATTCAAAAGCATCAACCTCAACAACTGCTTAAATACAGGCTGGTTTATAAAACTAACTTTATAACGTACAAGTTTTAATGTCTGGACTCCTGTGTTTCTGCAGTATAAGGTCAGTTCATGTAGAAAAGGCTAAAATTTACCCCCAGACTGTTGCCACACATCGCCATCAGTGTAACAGACTGTCATCAGACTGTCGAAAAGAGACGTTTTACCACTCTGTGATTTGAGACGACGATTAGAACAGGCTGACAGATTTACTAGCTTAGTGAGTGGATGGAGAAGGTCCAACTCTGCAGGACGTCTTAGGACAAGATGAGGACCTCTCTCTGTTTCACTGACACTGTGATGGAAAAAGAGAAAATGTAGCCTACACAACAAAACGACACCTATAATTTGGAGGTAAAGAAAACAGTCGGCACACAAGCTACAGCGATGAAAGGAAAGACAGAGACGGGTGTGATGCAAGTGTTGAGATGGGGTTGTGTAACGGAAAAGGTGCGTGTTAGAGAAAGCTGAATATGTGGATATCTGAGCCATCAGTGGAGGGATGAAATGCAGACTATTAACTGCAGCTGAGTGTGAAAAGAGACTCTTGTTCTCTGGCATGTGTGTAAACAGTGCTGCTCTGATGGATGACAGGGGAACAATGCAGGGAAATAAAAGGTTCTGTTACTCTTTCTGATGGCTACAGACGGGTGGCATGAAGTACACTATGGACACTTTTTACATGTTTTTAATGCAATCATTAATTTCTGATAAAAAAACAAAAACAAACGCAGGACTAGGTGTTAAACAAACATCATCTCAAAGGTGTAAAACAGCCCAAAGGTAAGGTGTTAAAGTGTTAAAGCAGCAGATTTAAATCATGTTAAACTACTTTCAGAATAAAATCATGGCACTCGGACTTTTGTGTCATGGCTTTTGGTGTTGTTAAGGCTTATAGCTCATGTCAAACTCAAGAACTGTGAGCCATGCTTCATGCTAACACGTAACAATTAGTGGTACCACTTTACAGTAAGGCTTCCCTTATACATGGATAATAAATAGTTTATATATACATTATTAATTCCTCTATAAACACTTTATAAAGCATTAATAATTGTTTATTATGCATTAATTAAGGGTGACAGAGAAACAAAATGGACCAGTTTCTTGCCAGATCTGTTCACATATATATTTCATCGAGTTGTTATATTAAACATTTCAGACTAAGTTACTACCTTGTAAGCACAATAAGCCTTTGTAAAACTATTTATTTAGCATATAATATTAGTTGTAGATACTTATAATGCAGTGATAAAGTACAATATTTTATGCTAAAGAAATAGGTTTACAAATACTTATTGTGCTTACAAGGTAGTAACTTAGTCTGAAATGTTTAATATAACAACTCTAGATAAAATATATAGGTGAACAGATTTGACTCACTGTTTGGCAAGAAACTGGTCAGTTTTGTCTCATGGTCGCCCTTAATTAATGCATAATAAACAATTATTAATGATTTATAAAGTGTTTATAGATGCATTAATAATGTATCAATAAACTATTTATTTGCATCTATAAGGGGAGCCTTATTGTAAAGTGGTACCCAATTAGTTAACCTAGAAACAAAGAACATAGGTTTGAATTTCTCAGTAATATGTTTAGCTTTGACACTAAAGAAAAACTATTTAAATGTCCAAATGGAACGGTACTCAAATACTCATAGATAAACCTGCACCCCCAAACAAAATATGTCAGATAATGCTAAAGACAGGACACTAAAAATATTCACTTTGGATAGAAAATGCTAATGAATGCTACTGATTTTTTTTAAAGTTGATTATATTTTGTTATTAAGCTATGTTTGTTTTATATTCTATTTGTTGTTGTGGAAAAATCATACATATTTCTTTATGAATAATTTGACACGACACATGTAAAAACAAAGATTGTCCCTCATTGAGGAGTACGTTTATATCTTTGACCCTCCTTAAAAATGTGTTTAACACCCATTTATAGCACAGATGTTTAACCAGCACCAGCAGTCTATACCACAATAATCAGTTTGCTCATGCACGTCACTCAGACACTGACATACAGAAGTAATGCTGCTGGATGTCCATCCATCCATTTTCTTTACCCGCTTATTCCATTTTGGGTTACGGGGGTCGCTGGTGCCCATGTCCAGCAATCACTGTGCAAGGGGTGGGGTACACCCTGGACGGGTCGCAAGTCCATCACAGGGCCACATAGAGACAAACGAGACAAACAACCATTCACTCTCTCACTCACACCTAGGGACAATTTAGAGTTACCAATCAGCCTAACATGCATGTTTTTGGACTGTAGGAGGAAACCGGAGTACCCGGAGAAAACCCACGCATGCACGGAGAGAACATGCAAACTCCACCCAGAAAGGCCCCTGGACCGGGGTTTGAACCAAGGACCTGCTCGCTGAGAGGCAGCAG